GCCAGCCTACCTACAGGCAGAACGTCGTCTGCTGCAGCAGCAGGAGCTGGAGCGGCTGCAGCAAATGCAGCAGCAGCAGCAGCAACTGCAGCAGCAGCAGCAGCAACTGCAGCAGCAGCAGCAGCAACTGCAGCAGCAGCAGCAGCAGCAGCGCCCTGTGGGGTTTCTTGTTTTTGCTGTTCCGGTTGCTGTGGGCGCCTGCGCTGCGACAAACCGTGAGCTTCTTGCTGTTGCTTCGTTTTTGTTGCTGCTCCATTTTGCTGCTGCTGCTTCATTTTGCTGCTGCTGCTGCTGCTGCTGGCAGACAGACCCGTTTCTTGTTAGTTCATTTGCTTCTCCGTCGTTTCTTTGTCCTGCTGCTGCTGCTACTGTCATCGCTGCTTGCTGCTGCTGCTGCTGCAGCTGCTGCTGGTGATGCCGCTTGCTGCGGCTGTGGCTGCTTGTTGCTGCTGCTGCTGCCGCTGCTGCCGCTGCTGCTCCTTATTAGTGCCCCTGCTGCGGCTTCTGCTGCCGCTGCTGCTGCCGTCCCCGTTGCCACTGCTTATTGCTGCTGCTGGAAACTGCGCTGCTGCTGCTGCTGCTGCATGCAGAAATCCTAATTAAGGCTGTCCAGACGTGGGTGCAGACGATGAAGGCGGCCTGCAGCAGCCCCGCAGGCGACGCGATCAGCAGCAGCACCACCAGCAGCAGCAGCAGCAGCAGCAGCAGCGTGTGGCCTTGCTGGCTGCAGCCTGCAGCGGTGGAGGCGCACTGGGGCATCTGCGTGGTGCTGCTGCTGCTTGCTGCAGTTGCTGTTGTAGAGCTGGTGCTGCTGGTGCGTGCGCTGCAGCTGCTGCCAGCAGCTGCTGCTGCGCCTGCAGCACACGCCTCGTCCGCAGCAGCAGCAGCAGCAGCAGGGCGTTTGCTGCTGCTGGATAAGCCACGCCAGCCCCTCATGTGGGGCTCCGGTTTGCTGCTGCTGCTGCTGAGTTTAGCCTTTATGGCAGCAGGCACATATATATTCTCTTGCCTCCGCAAGTGCGCCGTGTCTTGCTGGAAACCTGCTGCTGCTGCTGCTGCTGCTGCTGCATCAGCTGCTGCATCAGCTGCTGCTGCTATCCGCGCGACCTGGAGAGGCAGGCTGGGGGACAGGGAGTCGAGGGACCCTCTAGTTGGCTGAGGCAGCTGCTGCAGCAGCTACTGCAGCAGCTGCTACAGCGGCAGCTGCTGCAGCAGCAGCTGCTGCAGCAGCAGCTGCTGCAGTTGTTGCAGCTGCTGCTGTTGCTGCTGCAGTGCTACCAGTCACAGTTACTGGGGCGTTGCTGCAGCAGTTGCAGAAATGCAACAGCGGTCTGTGCTGCTGATGCAGCACCAACCGCTGCTACAGCAGCAACTGCTGCTGCGCTGCTGATGCAGCATCAACTGTTGCCGCAGCAGCAACTTTTGCTGCGCTGCTGCAGAGCTTGCAGGGCTGTTGCTGCAGCAGCAGCAGCAGCAGTTGCTGCAGACGGCACGTCAACAACTAATGTAATTTTTGCAGATTCGATCTACACCCGCAGCTGCTGCTGCCTTGAACACAGCAGCAGCAAATAGCCGAGCAGCAGCAGCAAAAAAGGCTTCTGATAAGCATTGAATACGAAGCAGTTTCAGTGTTTCAGTGCGCTGCGGTGTACATACACCTGGAAGAGGTGTGGGGCCGGCCGCGCCAGCTGCTGCTGCTGCTGCAGCATTTCTGAACGGCTGCAGCAGCTACTCTCTCGTGGCAAGCTGCTGCTGCAGCAGCAGCAGCCCTTCTCTAGTGGCAAGCAGCTTCTGCTGTCTAGCTACTTGCTTTTCCTGCTGCAGCGGCAGCGGCCGTTCTTCTCCAGCAGCATGCTGCTGCTGCGGTCCGTGCTGCAGCCAGCGGCTGTTGCTGCTGCTGTTGCTGCTGCTGCTGCTGCTGTTGCTGCTGCTGCTGCTGCTCTCTCGCTGCTCGCTGAGCTGGAGCAGCCTCCTCCTCGTGCTCCGCAGCAGCAGCAGCAGCTGCAGCGGCGTTAGCCACGCTAGAGTTTCCTGGTGGCGGGCCGGACCTCCTGCTGCGGCTGCTGCTGCTGCTGCTGCGCTGCTGCTGCGGGCTCGAGGTTGACTTCGCACTGGAGGCCCTTGTCCCTGAGGCGGCGAATGAGGGGCTCGCCAACAGCAGCAGCAGGAGACAGCGTGCCGGTGAGTTTGCTGCAGCAGCTAAGTTCGAGAGCAACAGCAAGAGCTGTTTCTGCAATCATTTTTGCTGTTTCGGAGTAGCCAGGGTCCCCCCAGCTGCTGCCAACTGCAGCACGAAGTGTCCCTACACTGCAGCGCCCCACAGCCTCCATGCGGAAGCAGCCGCTGCGCAGTGTACGTACACCCGGGCCCTCCCCAGCAGCAGGCAGCAGCCGCAGCAGCCGCAGCAGCATCCGGCTCACTGGACACCCCACAGCCAGCAGCGAGGTGTACGTACACACCAGCACCACTGCAGCAGTCAGCAGGTTGAAGCTGCAGGCCAGCATTTCGTAGTACACAAACCCGGGCCCGTACCGGTACCCCAGCAGCGCGTTCGTCCACCTGCAGCAGCAGCAGCAGCAGCAGCAGCAGCAGCAGCAGCAGCAGCGGCGGCGGGGGCGCGGCGGGCAGCGGCGGGACGGCGGCAGCAGCAACGCAACACAGACGCGCACAAGTTTGCTGCTTACCAGCTTTTGCTGCTGCGCGGACGCGTGCGCTGCTGCAGGTGCAGCTCAACCAGCAGCAGCAGCAGCAGCAGCGTGGCAGTGGCTTTTGGGGATTAGGGTTTAGGGTTTGGGGTTTGGGGTTTCGCAGAGGCCTCCATTTAGCTTCCTCCTATTTAGTTGAGTGCTGCGGGCATTGCTGCCCCTGCTGCTGGTTGCTGCACATCCCCACGACCCCTAACCCATAAGCAGCAGCAGCAGCGGCAGCAGCAGCTGCTGCTGCAGCAGCTGCTGCTGCTGCTGCAGCAGCAGCTGCTGCTGCTGCTGCTGTTGCACTTGAGGCCTCACCGCACAACGTTTTCGTTAACTCTCGACATCACAAAGAAAGTCGAATAGCCGAAGTCCTGGTCGTAGTGCAGCGCGCAGCTGCAAAAACAGCAGCAGCAGCAGCAGCAGCAGTAGCAGCACAGCTGCAGCAAACGCCCGCACGTGGCAGCAAAGCCAACAGCAGCAGCACCCTCCCCAGCGCCACCCTACCTCCCCAATGGCCGCCACATCAGCAGCAGCAGCCAAAGCAGCAGCAGCAGCAGCAGCAGCCACAGCAGCACAGCAGCAGCAGCAGCTCCAGCCACAACGGCGACCGCCCCAGCCCCAGCCCCAGCAGCAGCAGCAGCAGCAGCAGCAGCAGGGCCTACACCCTGGGCTGAACGGGAAGCTGCTGGCCGAGGGTTTGGGAGTTGTCTGCTGCATGCTGCAGCAAATAGTAAGGGTTTGACATGCTGCTGTGGCCCATCACATTCAACGCAGACTCTATTGTGGCTCCAGAAACCCCGCCCCGAATGCTCCGCACCGCCAGCTTCACCTGCGCACAAGGGTTTAGGGTTTAGGGTTTAGGGTTTGGGGTTTAGGGTTTAGGGTTTGGGGTTTGGGGTTAGGGGGAGGGGAGGGGAGAGGAGCAGCGGGAGTCAAGGGGTTGTGCGCTACAGGTGCTTCAGCACACACACGCGCTGCTGCTGCTGCTGCTGCTGCTGCTGCTGCTGCTGCTGCGAGGGCTCAGCAGCAAAGGGCGCGCGCGTCCCCGCGTCCCCGCGGCGCCCCGCAGCAGCAGCTTCACGCCCCCGGCAGCCGCAGCAGCCCCAGCAGCAGCAGCAGCCCCAGCAGCAGCAGCAGCAGCAGCAGCAGCAGCAGGCGCACCTCTTTGCAGGGTTTTCCCGTGAGTTCAATGGCTTTGTTTTGAATCATGAAGACACACAAGTCGCTGGGGATGCTGTCGAAGCCGCAAAAAGAAATCAACTTCACTCCCCGCTCTTTTGCTGCTAGCCCGTGCCGCGCATGCAGCATCGCCACAAACGGCATCTCTGCAGCAGCAGCAGCAGCAGCAGCAGCGGCGGCGGTGGGTGGGGCCGCGGGCCGCAGCAGCAGCAGCAGCTGCTGCTGCTGCCGCACGCACTGGGGCGGCTCGCACACGCGCTCACTGTCGAACTCACCCGGCAGCGCGCAGCAGCACACAGCCTGCTGCTGCTGCGCTGCTGCTGCTGCTGCTGCGCTGCTGCTGCTGCTGCTGCTGACCTGCAGTCAAGTCGCAGTAGTGAGTGCGCGCCTCCACACAGGCCCTCGCCACGGGCTCCCCGTAGAGCATGTAGGGCCCCACAGTGGTGATGAGCACGCGGCACCTGCAGCACAAACCCTAAACCCTAAACCCTAAACCCTAAACCCTAAACCCTAAACCCTAAACGCTGGACGGTGGACCCCTGCAGCGCTGCAGGGAGCCGGCCAGAGCCTCCCGCTGCCCTAGAGCGCAGCTGGGGTTTAGGGTTTGGCTAGGCCTGGGTTTGGCGAGGGCGTGGGTCTGGCGAGGGTTTAGGGTTTAGGGTTTAGGGTTTGGACCTGCGGGCGAGGCTGAGGAGGGAGGCGTAGTCCTTTAATTCGGAATGCAGTTTAATGCAGCGCAAACGCGGCCCCTTTTGGGGGGTTTTGAGCCACAAAATGCCCCCTTTTGCGGCCCTCAAGGCTGCAGCAAAAGGCCCAGTTGCTGCTGGAAAAAGCTGCAGGTCTTCATTCACTATTTTCCCCTTTTGAGCTTCTCGGGCGCACAGCAGCAGCAGCAGCAGCAGCAGCAGCAGGGAGGCTAGCGGGCACACGGCTTGGGCTGCTGCTGCGGGGAGCTGCAGCTAAGCTGCTGCTGCATAAAGGATTAATTAATTGTAATTAATTATTAATCATTAATTAATTATTTGTTTGTTTTGCTGCAGCTCACTTGCCCACGAATCCCGTGACGCCCAACACCCCGACGTGGAACTCCCGCGGCTCATCGACGGGGGGCACCGCCGCCATCGTGAAAAGGAGAAAAGAAAGAATTGAAAGAATTAGAAAAGAATTAAAAGAATTTAGAACTCAAATTGCAAGTTAAAAGGTCCTTTGGGCTGGGTTTCAGGCCTGGGGCGGCAGCAGCAGCAGCGGGCGCAGCGGCGGAATCTGCGGAGCTCCGCCCGCGTTCGCCACAGCAACTCCAACTCGAGAGCTTTCTTTTCCTTTTTCGAAATTCAATTCCAAAATAATAATTCAAGTCGAGAAGAAGCGACTCATAACTTCGCCGGAAGAGCCCGCCGGAGACTCGGACGGGAAGACGGACGCGGACTCAACACGCACACGGCTCAAGTGCGGCGCGAAAAGCTCCAAGTCACCCAGAAATGGACTTCTCAACTCGCTAAATATCCTTTTTGTTCTTTATTTATTCCGAAAATTCTCTGCTTTCCGCAGCACCGCGCGAAACAGACAACTGAATCTGCAAATCGACCGCGGAGCCGCTGCGGTGTATGTACAGCTGCCGCGCAGCCGCTTTCCGTGTGCGCGGAGCCTTTTGCCTCGAAAACGCCGGCGATTTGTTTCGCTTTTGAGAAGTTGAAATCATTAAACCAAAGTAATCCATTTAAACCCTTTTTTTCCGCGCTTCTGCCGCGGGAAGGCGCTGCTTCCGCCGCACTCGCGGGGGTCTTCGCCTCTGCTGCTGCGCGAATCTGAACTGCAGCACGAACCAAAAGAGCCTGTTTTGCTGTTCTTTCGGCGCCAGTCCGTCTTTTTTATTAATATTTAAATAAATAAACTCTTATTTCCAGTGTCTTTTCAGCGCATGCACCCGCTTGCCCGCAGACACGCCTCAGAATCGCTTTTCACAAAATCTGAATTTCCAATCCGCCACAGCTCAGCCCTCAAAAACTCTTCTCCGGGAAGCAGCTCCTTAATTCGCAGCTGCACTTTTCCGCAAATTACCTGCAGCTGAAAATAAGGCATTTTAAGCTCTTCTTGATTTACAAATTCTCCAGCAGCAGCAGCTGCTGCTGCTGCTGTTGCTGCTGCTGCTGCTGCTGGCGAACTTGCTGCTGCTGCTGCTGCTGCTGCTGCTGTGAGCAGCAGGCCTTTATTCCCTGGGGGATTGGGCCTTTAAATAGAAGGGCCTATTTAAATGAAGAGTCTTGTCGCAGCAGATGCTGCTGCAGCACTTTGCTGCTGCCGCAGACTTTCAATAAATATGTTTAATTATTTAAATGTTGTATCTTCTCCCGAAAACTTAATTTAGTTTTCAATAGTTCTTTTTATTTTTGCTGCTTCTGCTCATTTTGCTGCTGCTTTTGATGCTGCTTTTGCTGCTGCTTTTGCTGTTGCTGTGTTATTTAATTCTTTTTATCAAACCACGGCAGCTCCAGCTGCTGCTGCGAAAGGCGCAGCAGCAGCAGCAGCAGCTGCGGCACTTGCTGCAGTCACACTCCCCACAAACCCTAAACCCTAAACCCTAAACCCTAAACTCTAAACCCTAAACCCTCGGCCCCAAGCCCCGTTCGCGACGCAGAGGCGTCTGCTGCAGCAGCAGCAGCAGAAGAGGTTTTGTGTCTCTGAGGGTTTCGGAAAAAGACTGGGCTCACGCTGCTGCTGCAGTCTGCTGTAGCAGGGCCCCCTCTGCTGCTGCTCGTGCTGCTGCTGCAGTTTGCTGCTAAATGCTCTTCAAGCAGCCAGTAAAGACTTTAATGTTTTTGCATGCGTTTCGAAGAGTTTTAAAAAGCTCTTAAAAAATGAAAATAAAACTAAATAAAACTTTTTATTTGAATAAGAATTCCACACATTTCCAGACATCTCACTTACAGTACAGCTTCAGCAGCAGCAGCAGCAGCAGCAGCACCAGCGAGGATAGAAGCCTGCTGCTGCAGCTGGGACTGCAGCAGGGGAGTTCAGGGAGCTGCTGAAAACGCTTTAAACGGTTTTTATTTGCTGCTGAATTTGCTGCTGCAAAGAGCCACTTGCTGCGCTGCTGCTGCACTTTTGCTGCAGCTGCAAACAGCCGTTTCTGGACCGCTTGGCGGCCATAGTCTTCATCTGGCAGCAGCAAAAAGGCACTTAAGATTAAATTTAAAACTAAATTTGAAGTTAAAAGAATGAAAGAAGTTTAAAGTGCATTTTAATGTTTAAATTGGTTCAAATGAAATCCTAAAATGCCCCGAAGGCAGCAAATGGAATGCTAGTAAGCCTTCTTTTGCACTTCTGGCTCTGCGCACTGCAGAAAATGGAATATTCTTCGCGTCTTTTTCCCATTTGTCCATTTAAATGAATTTCTTTTTATTTTTAAATAATTATTTTAAATAAATTGGCTGAATGAGCGCAGCACGCGCTCCTCTTCGTTGCATCTTCATAGAGCCGCTGCATGCAGCAGCAGCACAGCCCGCGGCTGGCGCCGCGGCGAGGCCGCAAAGCTAGAGAAAATGACGGGAAAATGGAATAAAATGTAATTTCCAGGAAAGCGAATCATAAACGTAATGGGAAAATGCGCTTAAAGAATTAAAAAAGGTAAATTAACCCCGGAGATCGCCGCTTTGGAAAGTCCTGAAGACTGGAGCCTGCAGCCCCACAAGGAGGTGAGGGTGTTTTAAACGCCTTTTTTTGCTGTCTTTGCGGCGAAAGCGAAATAAAAGAATTTCAATTCAATTCAGAATTTCAAATTTCGCCTCCGAAGTTCCATTAGTGGCCAACTGGCCTCGCGATTCTGCTTCGCCGCCTCGCCGCGAGGCGCCGCCGCTGCTTTCCGGTGCGATTTTCCCCTTTTTCGAATCAAATGGATCAAATTATTAATTTAAACCCTTTTCGTTTTCTTTTTTCACGCAAACGCGTCAAACGAACTGCTTTAACCCAATCTCGCCGGGCAAACTGCAGATAAAGCTGCAGCAGCAGCAGCAGCAGCGCAGCAGGCGCCTCTCTGCATGGAAAACTGCCTTTTTCTTCGCTTCTAATGGTTTTTTTTGGTTTTTTAGTCTTTTATATTCTTATTTTAATCAAAACAAACTTCATTTCGGCCCTTTGAATGCAGTTAATCGGTTTAATTCCCCCGATTTCTTGAGTTTCGTGCTGCACAGAAGTTGAATTTGGCGGCTGCTGCGCCTCTGCTGCTGCGCAGGCCAACCGAAAGCTGCGACGGCGAAGTCTGCTCCTGCTGCTGCTGGATTTGAAGGACGAGCTGCGTTGAAGAAGATCTTTTAATTTGATTTCAAATTAAATGAATTAAAAGAATTAAATGAACTTTTAACTTCATTCAATTTCATGTTTTCCTTCAACTCCGCCTAAACTTCCCCTGCCCGCCGCCGAAGCAAAATGAACCTGCAGCCGGAGCAGCTGTGCAAAGGTGAGGCGAAATTCAAGTTGCAAAACCCTTTTATTTATTCATTTATTCATTTATTTATTTATTCAGTATTTATTTATTTATTTATTTACTTATTATTTATTTATTTATTTGTTTGTTTGTTTGTTTGTTTGCTTTCTTCCAGTTTTGCAAATCGGCATTATTCCACTTTGCAGCTTCCCGCCTGCAGCTTTCGATTCCGTTTTTTCTGAATAGTTCTGTTTCTTCAATTTCCATTTATTCATTTATTTATTCATTTATTTATTTATTTATTTATTTATTTGTTTGTTTGTTTATTTATTTGTTTATTTATTTGTTTGTTTATTTGTTTGCTGCAGTGCTGGAGGGCTCTTACAGCCCGGACGCCGAGACTCGGGGGCAGGCGGAGGCGGTGTTGAAGTCTGTGAGATTTTTTTTGAATTTTTTGAATTTTGTTTATTTTCTATCTTTTTTTGCATTTAATGCTTCAAATTGTTCATATTTTTCGTTTATTTTCATTTATTTTCGTCTTATTTTCATCTATTTTCGTTTTACTTCGCTTTTTTATCCTTTTATTTCCATTTTGATGCATTTTGGTCTTTTATTTCTCCATTTTCCGCTTTCCCGTTTTCCATTTGCTGCTGCTACTGCAGCTTTTCTCTTTTGCTGCCTCTGCACTCTTTCTCTTCTAATGACTTTTCTTTGTGTATTTTATTTATTTTATTTTTACTTATATTTAGTTTGATTTATTCTATATTTAATTTAATATACATTTAATATGTATTTAATTTATCTTTAATTTGTATTTAATTTTATTTTTATTTTCAATTTTTCCTTTTTTAAAATCACTTTTCCTCAAAGCCAAAGAAAAGGCTATCCCCCTTTTTAATTCCCCTTCTTTCATTAATCTTTTCATTTATTTAAAATAAAATAATTAAATTAAATTAATTAATTAATTCAATTTAATTAGTTTAATTAATCTAATTTAATTAATTTAATTAATTAAATTAAATTTAATTAATTTAATTCTTTTTGTGTTTGCAGCTGTCGCCCACAAAAGGCCTTTTGAGCGCTTTGATGCATATCATCAGCCACGACCAGGTGCTGCAGCAAATTAATTATTTAATTTAATTTATTTGATCTGATTTAATTAATTTAGTTTAATTAATCTTATTAAATTAATTTAGTTTGAATTAACTTAGTGCATCGTATTTGATTGTATCCTTTTGTCTCTACTTTATCTGCTTTTCAAATCAAACCGTTTGGTCTGCAGCAGCAGCAGCAGCAGCAGCAGGAGCAGCAGCAGGAGCAGCAGCAGCAGCAGCAGGAGCAGCAGCAGCAGCAGCAGCAGCAGCAGTAGTTTCCTTTTGCTGTGTGGCTCTTGGCTTCCCCCTTCCCTTTTTGCATTTTTTAATTTCTGCCGCTGCATCTTTGCTTCTTTCTCTATTTTTAAAACCCTTTTTCCTTCTTTTCTCATTCATTTATTTAATTATTTAATTTATATAATTAATTTAAATGAATTTAATTCATTTTATTTATTTTATTTTTTAATTTTCATTTCTTTCGCATCGCCGTTTCTGTCTGCGCTGTTTCCTGAGGTGTACGTACACCCGGCGCGACAGCCAAGCTCGGCAATGGATGCTCTGCTGCAGAATGTCTTTTAAATGTATTTTTGGAGCTTTTTTTGCGGACTTTTTGGAATTAAAAGAATAAAAAAGATTAGAAAGTTTGAAAAGGAGAAAAAAAGGAAAAGAAATGAAAGAAATGGAAAAGTTAGGGTTTCTTGCTGCTGCAGTGCAGTTTGTCAGTTTTTTCCATTTCTTTTGCGTTTTGCGTCCGATCTTTGACTATTTTAATTTACAATCGTTTATTTATTCATTATTTTTCATTTATAATTCAATTTGAATCAATTTATTCATTTATTTGTTCATCTATTTGTTCATTTGCCTCCAGATCGACCTGCCCATCCGCACTGCGGCCTCAGTGACTCTGAAGAACGAAGTGCGGCAGCACTGGCGCGACCCCGCAGCAGACCTGGGGGAGGCCCCTGCTGCTGCTGCTGCTGCTGCTGCTGCTGCTGCTGCTGCTGGGGTTTACGAGGAGGAGGAGAAGCAGCTGCTGCGGCAGCATCTTTACAAACTAGTCAAAGACACAAGTGCTGCAGCAGCACCTGTGCGGCTGCAGCTAATTGAGTGCATTCGAATTGTGGCTTCTTATGATTACCCCGAAAGGTATTTGTTATTTATTTATTATTTATTTATTTATTATTTATTTGTTTATTATATTATTTATTCAGTTATTTATTTATTATTTATTATTTATTATTTATTGTTTGTTTATTTATTTGTTTGTTTAATTGTTTTGTTTAGTTGCTTTTACCTTTTGTTCTTTCCCCTTTTGCTTCTTTCCGCTTTTGCTGCAGCTCTTTCCCCTTCCCTAAACCCTAAACCCTAAACCCTAGCCTGAAACCCTAAACCCTAAACCCTAGCCTTAAACTTTAAACCCTAAACCCTAGCCTTAAACCCGAAACCCTAGCCCGAAGCCCCAAACCTTAAACGCCAAACCCTAAACCCTAGACCCCAGACCCCAAGGCGCAACCCCTAAACCCTAAACCCTAAACCCTAAATCGTGGTTTCGGTGGGCGCTGCAGGTGGCCGTCTCTGCTGGAGGAAGTGTGCGAGGACTTGGCGGCTTCTGCTTCAGCAGCAAAAGTGTTAAATGCTTTAATGGTTTTGCGAAAAGTTGTTGGAAATTATGAATTTAAAGGAAAAGAAAGTAGACAAGCTTTGGACAAAATAATAGACAAGAGCTGGCCCTTGCTGCTGCCTGCGGGGGCGCAGCTGCTGCAGCTGCAGCAGCAGCAGCAGCAGCTGCTGCTGCAGCAGCAGCAGCAGCTCGCCCCCCACCAGCTGCAGCAGCTGCTGCTGCAGCAGCAGCAGCAGCAGCACGCAGACCCCATGACTCTCCTCAAACTCTTGTTCAAAATTTATTGGTCTTCAACTCAACTTTGTCTTTCCAGTTCTCCTTTGCTGCTCTCCACCATGGACAGCTGGTTCGAGCTCCTCTCCGCCTGCATTTTGCTGCCAGGTACTTCCCCTGCTGCTGCTGCTGCTGCTGCTGCTGCTGCTGGGGCTGCTGCTGCTGGGGCTGCTGCTGCTGGGGCTGCTGCTGCTGCTGGGGCTGCTGGGGTGCTGCTGCTGCTGGGGCTGCTGGGGTTGCTGGTGCGGGAGCGGCGGGTGCGGCGCCGTTTGCTGCTGCTGCTGCTGCGGGGCTGTTTGCCCTTTGCTGCTGCTGCTGCTGCTGCTGCAGGGCGATTTGCTGCTGCTGTACATATAAACAAAAACGCAAACAACAAACAAACAAATGACAAATAAGTCACAAAAGTCTGCTTCCCGCGTCTGCCGCCGCCCCTGCCGCTGCCGCTGCTGCCGCTGCTGCTGCTGCCGCTGCTGCTGCTGCTGCTGCTGCTGCTGCAGTGCCGAGTTTGCTGCTGGAGGACTTGTGCGCGGAGGAGCGGAGTTTGCTGCCGGTGTACAAGGCGAAGAAGTGGGCGCTGCAAATAGTGCAGCGAGTGTTTGGGAGGTTTGGGGACATAAAGCTGCTGAAGCGGGAAAAGGAAAAAGAAATGAACAAAAGAAACAAAATAAATGAAACAAATGCAATTAGTTCTTTTGCTGCTGTCGACAACCCTGCTGCTGCAGCACGAGACCCCGACGCCGTCGCCAGGGCCTTCGGCGAGCGCTTCAGCGAGCTGTGGGCCCCGCGGCTGACGCAGGAGCTGCTGCTGCTGCTGCAGCAGCACTTCGCCCCGCAGCAGCAGCAGCAGCAGCAGCAGCAGTGGCTGTCGCCGCGGATGCTGAACCTCACGCTGCAGTTCCTGGCGCGGGCCGTGGAGGCCGGGCGTCTGTACACCCCAATCCTGAAGCAGCAGGGAAACTTTCTTTTGCAAAAAGTTTGTTTTCCATTAATGCACTTTTCCAAAGATGATGCAGCAACTTGGGAAACAGAGCCTCTCGAGTTCATCCGCAGACAAAACGACCCCCTCGAGGCCTTCTCCCAGCCCAGAGAAGCAGGTGCTGCTGCTGCTCCTGCTCCTGCTCCTGCTCCTGCTGCTGCTGCTGCTGCTGCTGCTTCTGCTGCTGCTGCTGCTGTTGTTGTTAGGATTCAGCTGCTGCTGCTGCTGTTGCTGTTGGAGGTCTTGGTGCTGCTGTTGGTGCTGGTGATGCTGGTGTTGTTATTATTCCTGCTGTTGCTGCTGTTGCGTTTGCTCCTGCCGTGCTGCTGCTGCTGGTGTTGCAGCTTCGCGTTTTCGTGTTTCGTTTCTTTCAACATTTAATGGATAAAATGAATTAAAATTGGTTTATTAAGTGATCTAAGTTGAATTCATTTTATTAAATGATTAAATAACGCCGCTTCTCTTTGCTTCCGTCCACGGGATTTCTTGGAGCTGCCTATACACCTGAACATGCACATGATGCCGTTTTGAGTTTTTCGAATTTTTCGGTTTTCTTGGACATTTTTGGGCACTTTTGGAATGTTTACGAACCAAATTGAACAATATTGAATAAAGCCGAACAATATTGAGTAAATTTGGACAATTTGTGACGACTTGAGGCCTTTTGGTTGCGATTTGCTGCTGCGGCGCTGCAGCAATAGAGTTTGTGAAGAGCCTGGTGCGTTACCGCGCGAAGGACTTTCTGGAGCCGATGTACCTGACGATAGAGCGCGTGTGTGGGGAGTTTGCTGCAGCAGCAGCAGCAGCAGCAGCAGCGGGAGGCGCAGCAGCAGTTCCCGAGGAGCTGTACCAGGCCAAGGACGGGGCCCTCGTGCTGGCAGCAGCTCTCAGCGAAAGACTTACTTCCAAAAAAAGAAAAGTTCCTTTTCAAGAAATGCTTTTCAACTTTGTGCTGCCGGAGTTGTCTTCAGCAAACAAGTTTTTGCGGCTGCGGGCCTGCTGGGTGTTCGAGTTGTACCTGGAGCGCAGCAGCAGCAGCAGCAGCA